AATATTAATTAATTATATGTAAAAAATTTATTTTTTTATATTAATTTGTGAGAAATGGGGATCCGCGCAAGGATCCTCATTCTCCACGGGAAACGGGAATGAGAGGCAAAATTTGCTCCCCATTAAAAATTCTCACAAGAATCTCCGTCTCCGCCATTTACAGAGACGAGGATAGAAAGGAACTCTCTAACTTCGTGGAACTCTGTTGATATCCCTAAATAGAATCCTTTACTGATGCAACATTATTCTTTGTGTATATATGTACCTAGTTATATTGACGAAAATGGGTGTTCAATTTTATTTTTTAGGAAAAGAGGAAGAGCCGTCAGTAGAGATGCACACCCAGCATCAAAACATTTAAACTGTGTGCTCTAATTTTTGGTTTCACCAATTTTTGTTCTCCCACCCTCCAATTACCCAACTCAAAAATTTTCCAATGGATAGCAAGGAAAGCCCAAATATTGTTCACAGAATAGGATCCAATGGCACTTTGTGCACATTTTCATCGAGACAATGATTTGTCGAGGACGTGTACGTGACAACGATTCTCACAGCATGACGTAGATAAAATGGCAAAATTCCAGTGGAAGGTCCCACGTTGGACTCCTTCCAACAATGATGTGTTACAGACTTTCATCACTCGCGTGGTTCCACGTTGGGGAAAGTGGGCTTTCTGATAATCACAATTATATAATATCAAAAGAGTAAAAATTTATTAATTTATTTATTTCATTTGAGTAAAAAAAATTGATAAAAATTACATAATTTATTTTATTATAAAATTTTATTATTAATAAATCTTGTTAACAATTTTTTTTTATATTTATATTTAAAAAGCTAAATTTAATTTTTCTAGCACTTCATATTAAGAAAAATAAAAACTGATCTTAAAAATGGTTATTCTTGACTTCCACGTATTGGAGTCAAGAATCAAGATGCTACTAGCAAGGGTCACTGCCATGCATGTGATGATAACAACCGTTAGCCTATAACCGAAATTTAGAGGTTGCAATAGTAACCCCACAAGCGACAACAACACCTTGTGGAGGAGGTAAACTAGAAAATAAATAAAGGAAAGAAATTAAATGAAGACAACGAACTCGTGTTTCAACATCTAAGTGTCACATAGTAAAGAAGTGGCTTTGAATATATAATAAGTCGATGTCGTAGAAACATAAATGCGGAAGACTTGGAGTGAGAATGGGGCTGGATTGGAAAATTGCACCCTTGTCCCACTTGTAGTTTGGAGGGACTGCAATTCGCCTCCAAATTTGAAAAATGTGCAGAGGCTTTATTGCTTTCTTATAATTTTATTGTGACGTTTAGTTTGATATAATTATCATTGGTTGATTGAGCTATAAAAATAAGAAAAATTTTGTTTTATTTGCTGTTAAAAAAATTAAACGCTAATAATAAAAATAATAAAATATAAAATTATGAATCACACATTTATTTATATTTTTAACCAAGAAAAAATTATATTATTTTTAAATAATTAAAAAACAAAATTTTAATCATTTTGTTTAGTTAGCAAATTTTTTTATTAAATTAATATAAATTCTTTTAATAATAAATTAATTTAAAAATACAAATATAATAATTACTTAATAGTATTTAAGAGAAAAAAATGAATTTACAACCAATTAGATAAGTGATAATTAAAGACTACAATTAAA